TTAATTTTGCTTTAGAAACAGAGGAGGTTTTTAAAAAAAGGTGTCTCAAGGATTTTAGCTTTCCATAATGAATATTATTTTTGTAGTACACTATAAAGTATCATTAACTTAGATTTCAACTCATAAAGACAGACAGGCAGTAATATAAAAAATAACTTCAATAATGAAAAAACACCTCAAAATCACTGTTAAGTTGGAAATCTTAATTTCATGAGTAATGAAGATTAGATTAAAAAACAAAGATTTGGACTACAGGCAATTAAAGATCATTTTGATCCCTCACACAAAACATTCTAGTAGAATTACATAGTCCAACAATCTCAGGTGAAATATTTGTAAATTTACAAAGCCAGTCAAATCTTGCTACAATAACACGTGCATTGGTCATCTGTACCTGTAGGGTGCTATTTTAAGTTTTATTGTACTGTCTACTAGTTGCAAGTTTCTCAATTCTACTATTATATAGAACTGCTTTTACCTGATAGAAAAGAATTGTATGCATTGATATTTGTTTTTATTGTTACAATTTTACTTTTAAGGTGAATTTACCACACTTCTCATATGGGAAGAAGAGTACAAAGAAATTTTTAGAGCAGTTTATCTGCATTTCAGTATAATGCTTATCCAAAAATCACAAGGAAGTCACTATCTACTTAAAAAGAAAAAAAATTATTCTACCAAATGATTTTGAGTTTATTTATTAAAAAATGAAAATGTATTATCTTTTTCCCCCTCAACCCAATCGACTTTTAAGTGTAACAAGCCTTCAATTTGTTAAAAAGTAAAACATTTATTTCTCAACTCATACAGAAGATTCAATTACCAAGATCACATTATATTTTAAAATTATGTAAGTACAAAATTCTTGAGACTCTAAAATGCATGTTAGAAAGGGGAAAATTATACTTCACAGTGAATGTTCTTAAGACAAATCTGTATTTAAATAGGAAATACATACTACACATATTATGAAAAAAAGTATTTTCAAAACAAGATCACAAACCTTGCCTTGTTGCATTGAACAGTCTACACATCCTACTTGAATATTTCCATGCTTAGCTCCTGGGATTATCTGTAATCTTTCAAAATCACTTCCCAGGATTACAATGTCACATCCAGATGCATAAGCCTAAAAACAGAAATAAAACAGTGATAAAATTATCAATAATAGATTATTTAACATTTAGAATACTAGTCTTAAGTATCATATAATAGATTAATTTTAAATGTTCTCTAAATATGTGAAAATGGACCTGGAGAAAGGATAAAAGTCACACAAGTGTTGAGGACTTATGTTCACAGGGTTGCTACGAGTCACCTACGACTCAATGACACTTAATACTAACACCAACACAGAGAGAGATCAGTTGGCCTAGTGGAGAGAAAGTGATGCTACCAAGCCAAAGGTGAGTGACTTCTAATCCGCAGCCCTCAGGCCTGTTTTTCATTGTTTTTGTTCAAACATTCTTCTAGGTCATATAGGCCTGGTGTGTCCACTTGCTGTACAGAGATAACTTGCAGTGGCTGTGAAGCTGAACACTGTGACACCGATGTGTCAAATGCATTAATGGTTACCCATGTTGGACAGTGTTTGGTGGTGCTACCAGATTAAAACAAGCTTGGAAGCAGGAGTGGCATCCACTTTTGTAAATAGCTTGCCTCCGGAAACCCTATGAACCTGGAGAAAGGATGAAAGTCACACAAGCGTTGAGGACTTCCATTCATAGGGTCGTTATGAGTTGCCTACAACTCGATGGCACTTAACAACAACAACAAATATGTGAAAATGTGTTTAGGAATATTTCCCTTACCTCCCATATATGCCCTTCGGCAAATTTTCTGACAGATCTAGAAAACATACACTAACTTCTTCCAAAGTCTTCATTTGCATGTCGCTCATTACTTTATATAGTAAACTGGTTTAGAACAGGTCGTGGCATTAGACATACTACTATTGATGTCATATGGATTTTGGCTGCAAGTAGAGAGTACTGGAAGAATGCCTGTTTGTGTCTTATCAACTAAGCAAAGGTATTGACTGTCTGGATCGCAACAAATTGTGGCTAATACTGAGAAGAATAGGAATCCTAGAACACTTGTTTCTGCTCAAGCAACACCTATACCTACACCAAGAAACTGCTGTCTGAACAGAGCAAACATAGCTCAAAATCAAGAAATGAGAGTGTCCTTTCTCCATACCTTTCCAATCTATATGCTGAACAGATAATTCTGTAGTCCGGACTTTATGAAGAAGAATGCAGCATGAAGATTGGAGAAACACTCATCAATAGCCTGCATTATGCTGATATGACACATCTTTGCTACAAAAGGTCAAGAACTACAGTATTCATTATGGATTGTATCTCAACATAAAGAAAATAAAGATCCTGACTACCACACCAATAGGCAGCAGCATGATAAATGGAGAAAAAAATTGATGATGTTAACAATTTTACCTTGCCTGGATATTCAGCTTGCTCAGATCTATAATCAATGCCTTTGGCATCAGCAGCGAGGAGATCAAAAGCTGAGAGGAAATGGAAAAATCTGCTATGAAGGACCTCTCCAGAGTGTTAAAGAGCAACCATATTTGTATAAAGACTAAGGTGTGCCTGATCCATCCAGGTCATGGTCCTCTCAATTGCTTGCTATGCATATTAGAGGTGGACAATGAATAAGGATAACAGAAGGTAAACTGATGCCTTTGAGTTGTGGTACTGGAGAACATACCACAAAACGCCAAGAGAACAAGCACATCTGTCCTGGAAGGGGGAAACAAAGTTGCTTCTTGGAGGCAAGAATTTTAAAGCTCTGTCTCACATATTCTGGGCAGAAAGTCAGGAAGGACCAGTCCCTGGAGGAGGAGATTATACTTCGAAGGGTAGGTGGTTAACACAGGAGAGGAAGAGCCTGGATAAAATGTATTGACACAGTGACTGCAGCAATGAATTTAGGTGTGTCTGGGATGGTGAGATTGGCTCAGGATAGGGCAAGGTTTAGAGCCATTAATCACTGGGTTGCTATGAATCTTGGTCAAATTGACAGAATTTAACAACTACTTTATACCTTAAGTGTGTATACACTTCCTTGTTTGTACAGCGTTTGCCTATCAGTGTGTTAAACTGTGTTAACTTGTGAGTTGTTGTGATACTGGAAGCTAATTCATTAGTTTGTCAAATGCCAGAAGGGCCACCTACGGTGACCACCCATGGTAGATAGATTTCAGCTCCTAGACTAAGATAAACTAGGAAGCAGGATTGGCCATTCAATTTTGAGAAAGAAAAAACAAACAAATAAAAAACCAAACAAGCCTCTGAAAACTCTATGAACAACTGAGGAACACAGTCAGCTATAGCTGTAGAGTCCAGACTGGAAATCAATAAATATTAAGAGAAACACTTTCAAACACCCTTTAATAATTGGAATGTAAAATGTTCCAAGTATAAATATAGGACAAGTAGAAGTTTTAAAAAATTAAATGGAATACATGAATATTAACATTCTAGGCATTAGTGAGATAAACTGGCAATGGAAACTTTGAAATCAGACAAGCATATGATGTACCATGCCAGAACTGTAAAACTGAGGAAGAATGGTGTGCTGAATTCACAGCTAAATTCAAGTTCTAGCCAAAAAGAAAAATTTAGTGAGTGATAGGATACTATCCATATGATACAAGACAGACAGGTTAATATGACTACTACTCAAAAATATACACCAACAGCTAAAGCAAAAGGACAGGAAATGTAGGATTTTTACCAAATTTTACAGCATAAAATTGACCAATATGCAATCAAAATGAAAGAATGTTAATTGGTGACTGGAACATAAAGGCTGGAAACAATGATGAAGGAATGGTAGTAAGAAAGTAAAAACACGGTGACAGAAATGAGGCCAGAAATAAAGTGATCAAAATTTGTATGCTCAATGATTCATCACAAACACCTTCTAAAAATCACCAATGGTGACTTTACATATGAACTTCACTTGAGGAACTGCAGAGAAATCAGACTGACTACATCTATGAAAGAAATCAATGGAGAAGATCAAAGCAGCAGTCAAAATCAGGGTAAGTGCTGACTGTAGAAAAGACTATCAATTACTCATATGCGAGCTCAAATGAAGGCTTCCAAAAAATGAAAACAAATTCAAAGAACCAAAATACAGCTTTGAGTCTATTCCACCTGAACTTATAAATCATCTTAAGAAAAGGTTTAAGGCACTGAACATTAATGATCAAAGCACAGATGAGCTGTGGGATGACATCAAGGATATCATCCATGAAGAGAGCAAAAAGGACATTACGAAGATAGAGGAGAGGGAAAAAAACCAAAACAAACAAAACTACAAATGGATGCCAGAAGAAACTCTGAAAATGGCATCAGAGCATCAAGAAGCCAAAATAAAGGGGAAAAATGTTAACATAAAAGAGCTGCCCAGAGAATTTCAAAGGGCAGCTCGAGCGAAGACAAAGCAAAGTAATATAACAGAATATCCAGAGAGCTGGCGTTAGAAAATAAAAAGGGAATAACTCATTTGGCATTTCTCAAGGTGGAAGAACTGAAAAACAAGTTTCAATACTAAGAGGTGCTATGGGCAATATCTTGAATAACCCAGGAAGCATTAAGAGAAGATGGTAGGAATACACAAAATCACTGTACCAAAATTAATTGACAGACACTGAAATATTTCAGAAGTATCATATGATCAAAAGCCAATTATAATGAAAGAATAAGCTGAAGCTGCAAGGAAGGCACTGGTAAAAAATAAGGCTCAGTAATCGACAAAATACCAAATGAAAGGTTTCAAGTAAAGATGCAGCCCTGGAGGTGCTCATCAGCCTGTGCCAGGAAATTTGGAAGACAGCTCCTTGGCCAACTTACTGGACAGGATCCATATTTGTTCCCACTCCCAAGAAAGGTAATCCAATAGAATGTGGAAAATAGAAAAAAAATTATTGCTATCATATACAAGTAAAATGCTGCTGGAGATCATACAAAACCAGATGGACAAATACACTGACAGAAAACTACTATTATGATCAGGTTCAGGTAAGAGGAGGCAATGGCACCAGGGATATAATTGCTGAAGTCAGATGGATCCTGGCTGAAACCAAAGAATACTAGAGAATGTCCATCTGTGTTTACTAATTACACAAAGGCATCTGACAATGGATCATAACAAATTATGGCTAATATTGAAAAGAATGAGAATTCCAGAAGACTTAATTGTACTCATGTGAAACCTATATATAGAACAAGAGACTGCTGTACAAACAAAACAAACACTATATGGTTTAAAATCAGGAAAGGTGTGCGTCAGGGTTGTATACTCTCTCCCTACCTAGTCAATCTACATACTGAGCAAACCATTCAAGAAGCTGAACTCTATGAAGAATGTGGCATCAGGATCATAAGAACATCCATCAACAACCTGTGTTATGCAGAAGACACAACCTTGCTCACTCAAAGTGAGGAGGACTTGAAGCACTTGTTCCAGAAGATCAAAGACTTCAACATGGGTTTCACCTCAACATGAGAAAAACAAAATTCACTTACAATCAGGAGACTTACAATCAGGAGGGAACAAAATAGATGAATGGGACGTTCTACGAATCAAATGCCAATAGACATTAAAAAATTTCTCCAGTCTGTAGGTTTTCTTTTCACCCAGTTGGAAAAAGTTTTTGATGTACACATAGATTTAATCTTTAGAAAGTCTCATGCATCAATTTTATCCTCTTCAGATTGCACATTTGTATTTGGCAGTCTCTTTATACCTTGGACTAAGCTTGATCCCAGTTTGTCTCTTATGAATGTTATGGTTTTGGGCTTTACTCCCAGGGCTCGGATCCACCTTGGGTTGATTTTTGTGTACAGTGTGAGATGTGGATCCTGTTTCAGCTTTCTGCAGGTGGAAGCCCAGTTTTGCCAGTTCATTTGTTGAAGAGGTTATCATTTCCCCATTTGATAGCTTTGATTTCCTTGTCAAATGTCAGTTGACCATACATAGCTGCTTCAAAATCCTTGCTTCCAAGGAGAAACTTGGTTTCACCCTCTCCAAGACAGACATGTTGGTTTTATTGGCAGTTCTAACCTCCATGAGCTTGGAAGGAGGAGTGGCATCCAC